AACCGGCGAAATCCGGGACGGTTGTGGCCGGTTCGGTGCCGGATTGGCGGGTCGGGCCGACCAGTGGCCACCTCTAATTTTAAGTCTATCCCCTGTCTTGATGCAAAAAAATTCAGTCTTGTTGACGGTTAATATATCTGGGAGTCTTAAGATATAACAAATCATTTAGAGTTGTTTTACCTTAACTTTATTCTTGTAAATACTTTGTACAATACTGGCGAATAGTTTACGGTTCGTAATTCCAGAAGTTTTTCGGAGGGAAAAAAATGGTATCCATTGCTGTGGGAGTGGAGAATAAATATGAAAGAGATACTGGAGCGAATGCGCAAACTATTCATCTCGACATATCTTGCAAGCATACATAGATGTACTCTTGTGGCTTATTTGTGCTGAGATGGCATGTCTGTGATACTTGTTCTGGAAAAATTACCTTTATTTTTGCTCTGAATGTCTCATGGCTTCAAGTAGTATGCTTCAGGGTTTTGCCCACCTGAACTTAGCTTTTAGCGGAACAACTTCTGTAGTAATTTTTACTCAATTTTCAGTTTGAACAACTCCTCTAATTCCGTGTTTCCAGAAAGAATGTGTTTTCCTTTTCATTTTCAAATATGCAGGAGATGATTATGGGTTGATCCTCGACAGCCTGTGCTGGAAATGCATAAAACCTGCATATTAGTAAATGGGGGTCTTTCTTGTGTGTTCTCAGGTTTTGGATCCTGAAAGAGGGAAAATACCATGCAGAAGAAACTGTCCTTTCTTAAACTCGTACTTGATCTCCTCTTTGATTTAGTATATATTTGTATCTCATGGACTTACTAAAGTTCGCCACTGCACATGCCAGTTTTGTTATGAAATCATATAAGGGCACACTTTCATATTATGTAATGGGATCCGTATATTGTGTCTTTGCTTTCAGTACTCGACGTAAATCACTGTTTTATGTGTAATTGCATTTCATTTTCGATTTCTCTCTTACTTTTCAAGCCATTAATCGGTGTAGATCTTAATAGTTGATGCCACAATTCAAGATTGTATAATATCTTTATTCATTTCATATATAGAATCCTGTTTGAAAGTGGAAATTTTGGTGTGATGCTAACCTCCCCTAACCGGCAGGCCAGATAGAACTCTTCTCCCATGTACGCGTGCTTAAGAACTTTTCGGAGCATTTAAGGCGAAAAATTTCAATGGCTGTGTTGTATACTTGCTTGATTCACAGGGTATCTAAGTCTGTACTTCTTTACATCTAACCCCATGATTTATCATCAGTATTTTTTTCTCGACTTAATTCTCTGTTTTCCATGTTCATTAGTTTATAACAGATGTGACCAAGTTCATTAGTGGTTGTATGTTATCGCTTCGTGCTATGGCGCAACTAGAGCTAGTAAATGAATCCACGTAATAGCAGAAAAAAATCTACTTTAGCGGCTTGGCCAGTTACTCGAGATTCTCGATACCTCACGTTAATATACTCTCCAAAACGGATCTTGTAGCCAACAAGGACATTGAGAAGTCAATGCTTACATTACAGAAACCATTTTTTGTTTTTTTCACTCAATATTTTTTGATGGATTTCTATGATTTTATTTTGGGAAATTTTTGTCTGTCCTATAAGATATAAAAGTATTTTCAATTTTACCTTAATGTAAAAGTTTTTTCAACAATACCTAAACCAGCTATTTTATTTAAGAGATTGCATCTAAATCAGTTATCTTGTAACGTGCGTGAAATCCGCGATTAGAAAAAAAAAATAATAATAATAACTGATTCATTTATTACTTCTTTAATTCACGCAACTTGTACATTGTAGTTCAAACAGCCGCCAGGTAGTATATTTTGGGTTTATGTTAGTATATATTTAGTGTATGTTGCAATATTATAATTCACGCAACCGCCAGGTGGTATATTTTGAGTTTATGTTAGTACATATTCAATATATGTGCAATAAAAAAACAAGTCTTCCACAAAAAAATTAGTGAAAATATCTATTTTCACCCCGTTTTGAAGTCTTGATAAGTTTTTCACACCGCCCAATAAAAAGCTAAGTTTTTCACCCCATAAAGTGCGAAGGTTATGCGAAAACTGTCGCATATTCATCGCATAACTGCCCATATGCGAAGGATATGCGAAAAACTATCGCATGACTGTCGCATATCAATTGCATAATTGTGCAAAGGCATTTGTGCGATAAATATGCGACAGTTATGCAATTGATATGCGACAGTTATGCGACAGTTATGCGAAAAACTGTCGCATAACTGTCGCATATCAATTGCATAATTGTGCGAAGGCATTGTGTGATGAATATGCGACAGTTATGCAATTGATATGCGACAGTTATGCGACAGTTTTTCGCATAACCTTCGCATATGGACAGTTATGCGATGAATATGCGACAGTTTTCGCACAACCTTCGCACTTTCTGGG